TATTTACGCATCCCCAGGCTGAACGGTACGGCATCGGTACGGCTCAGCTTGTATGCGGTACACGAACTGAACACGGACCAAATATGCTGAGTGTACATTATACATACTATGAACAACTCTCCAATAAGGAAGGTTCGTAATCAGACAATGGCTGTATAAGAGTATAGACAATACGAGGAAAACCGTTAAGTTTATTTCATAGCTTTTCTCAATAAAAGAAGCAAATCATATTTTTTTCAAACGAAAATTATTTTTTTAATTTTCGCATAAAATCTAAAATATTTTAGTTGTTCTACCATTAGACCTAAACCTCAGCATATATGTCACATACAGAATTAAATTTTAAGCAAAATTAAACTTAGGCAAAATTTATTTTATATTAGGCCGATAATTTCAGCTGTATTTTTTTTATTTAGAAATAATTTCTAATTATCATTTGCATTCAGAAATCTCGGTAGATCACGTGATTATTTCATTAATGAACATATCAATAATCTTTGCGCAGATATAACAAGTAACGCGCGTCGCTTCGACTCGCTTCATCCTCGACTGAAGTTCAATTTTTGTTATTCTACCCAATCTAGCAGAAACAATCAATAACAGTAGGCTTGAATAAAACGACAATTTCTATCAACTGTCTAATAAGAGAGAAATAATTTGTGTAAATAGTGACTAAAATTTCTATTCTTTCGTATAACAGTATAACAAACGGCTTTATCTTTTTGTCAAGCAATTCTGAGTAAGCCTCACTTGTCAAATAAAAGTCACAAGGAAGGTCAAATTATTTGTATCCAGGTCCACTTCAACTAATAAATGTCTCTAGTGAAATACATAGTACGCCATTATGTAACGACCGTATGGGATACACTAAATTGGATTAGTTATACATCATCATACTATAGCTAAGAATTTTTATATTAAAAATTTTATTTTTAACAACAAGTAACGCTCATCGACATTGAATGTCGATTCACTTGGCCCTAGACTGACGGAATTATAACAAAGATGTCCTTATATTTTTAAATGAAAATGAATTCCGTATAATGATGAGTTTACGAGAAATTATTAATATTTGTAACATTTTCTACATTACATACTATACATCTATTCAAATAGTTCCCAAACAATATTGGAAGATGCTAACGTATATGAAAAAGGTTATGCTTTAGTTAATTATAATGACTAACATGGTAATTTATGTCAAAGCAATGACCATTTCTAATACGAACATGGCCAATTATGACACAGACATGCTCATTTGAACCATAAGAATGGTCAACTGTGCCATAGAAAGGGTTGATTGTGCGGTGAAAATACTAAATTGAGCTATACAACCGGTCATCTGTATAATGGAAATGGGCAATTGTGTCAAATAAATGGTCCCCTGTACCACCAAAGCGGTACTTTTCTACTATGAAAATGGTTAGCTGTACCACGACTATGGTACTTTTTACCACAAAAATGATCACTTGTACGATCATTATGGTACTTTGTGGCACGAAAATGGTCACTTGTACGATCACTATGGCACTTTGTACCATGAAAATGGCCATTTGCACCAAGTGTTACAGACAGACAGACAGACACAGGGGAATTTCCGTTTCTAGACCCTAGCCTTTCAGTCTAGGGAATAGACACAGGTGAATTTCCGTTTCGATACCCTAGCCTTTCAGTCTAGGGAAAATGCCTGTACTCATTCGACCTGGTATACATTAGCATCGTCAGGCTACTACGGTGTCGAACATGTCGATATCAACTGTACTCAAATTCTATCAAAGTTTACTGCACAAATCATTGTTGAACGTAATTTGGCTGTTACTTTTGCCTAGCAATACAATACATTTTGGTCAAATACTGTAATACAGACACAAACTAATACGATTTCACCAATTATCTACATGTGGACAATTATTCCTGAACAAACGATTTCACGCAGCGGATTTCCATATTTTATCGAAGCACAATTTCAATTGACAGGTCAAAATCAAACGGTTAGCAATGATACATATTCAATTGTCATCGTAGATGCATGTTACGGCCAAACACTCACTCAAACGGGACATTTTTAAAGGACAGTTTTCATTATGAAATCTATGAACTATAAAATAATACGTAGTTTGAAGAAAAAAAAACAAATAAACTATTTTCATGTTACTCCTATCTTCACTTTTCTATTCCGAAGTTGTAATCATTGTTTTGTTGCATAGCTGCAAGAGAATCGGTTGCCTTTGAAATTCTATTTAGCCAAATGGTTAAAAGTATAGCCAGTTGATCCTAATTCTCTCACAAAAGTTTACTTTTCGACAGTTGATCTACAGGGTGGTCCATAAGTTACTCGACACTCTTTTATTACGAATAGCTTTTGACAGGAACAAGATATAGATCTGCGGTTTTCACCATTCGAAAGAGCGATGTTTGGACCATCGATTCATATAATATTCACTAAGACGAAAGATTTTTTTTCATAGGACTTTTTCAATTGACATTCATTTTTTCGTGTATTTTCATAGATTTCCATAATAATCTCGTCTCAAATTACGCCAAAATGTACCTCAAATCACACATTTTTCGCTATAAAATTATCACTATTCCTCGAAGGTTCACTTGAATAAATGTGAAAACATCGGATTTAAATCCGAGTGTCATGTGTACTTGGAAAAGTGAACTGGACAGATGAGTCATCCTAGCACATGTAGGCATCAAAATTATCCTAGCGAGTCCCTTCTATTCAAACTTGATTTGTATCGGTTACTGCTCAACCAATAGGATTTCGAGACAAGTGGAGCTCAGATTCGAGTTCTCCGTCCTAGAAAACCTCGAACTATCATCTCTGTGATCGGAAGATGGAGCTTTACTTTTCGATCAATTGAAACGTGAACAAAAACAGAACCAATTTCGGTTTAAGTATCTTTGCAATAGGTGACTCAGCCTTCTTGTTTCTTAATGTTTTATATACCATTTTGTAGCTCGTGAAATTCTCTATCGAATGGTATATAATAGTTGGGGTTTTGTTTGATTGTGAGAGGAGAAGTTTTTTACGAAAAGCTGGATAGGTCAATGTTCGCATAGAAAAGCATAGGGAATAATGACTCTTTTTCCGATAACTCAGCAATGGCTCGACAAATCATTCTCATCTTCGAACTCGACCGAGATATTGATGAGACAAAACTGTGTAAAAAATTTCATCGCGACCGGACTCTCCTTTCGAAAGTTATCGTGTAAACGGCCGGATCCACTGACAGATTCTATAGTATACTCACTTATTGAGTAGACAAAAAACAGGTCAATGGAATGGTGCATAAAGTGATAATTTTATAGCGAAAAATGTGTGATTTGAGGTACATTTTGGCGTAATTTGAGACGAGATTATTGTGGAAATCTTTGAAAATACACGAAAAAATGAATGTCAATTGAAAAGCTCCTATGAAAAAACATCTTTCGTTTTAGTGAATATTATATGAATCGATGGTCCACACATCGCTCTTTCGAATGGTGAAAACCGCAGATCTATATCTTGTTCCTGTCAAAAGTTATTCGTAATAAAAGAGTGTCGAGTAACTTATGAACCACCCTGTATATAATTCGATTGGGTAACAGCGTATTGAGTTGATTTTTAGTTGCACCATTGAGAAAACATTTCTGCGTCAACCAATAATTCGGTATACAGTTGATCATTAAAAAAATCATCGTGCATTTTATGAGAGCCTTGAAAGAACGACTAGATGTATATCGTTCCATCTGTCTTGTTTTTTTAATGTTGCAACTTTATTTGTTTTCTTCGTTATTACTCAATGCACACATTAAAAGACATGTCTCTCAACAATTAATGCAACTTGATGAAACGAACCTTGAAAAAGAGAAATGTTTTTCTTTCTTTAAAAAATATGCATCGATTTGTGTTTGTACAATTCTCACAAACCACTATGTGAATTTTTAATGATCAACTGCATACATAATAAGTGCACAAATTGGTCATTTTTGATAGGCAAACAATAGATGGCTTCGGACAGTATCTGACAAAATCAAAATTGCACAAATGCATGAAATGTATTTTTTTAAAAGTTGTCTTTGTTCATTCTTTTCGTGTTCTATCTTAAAGTATATCGGATCAATAATTCAGTTTAACTGCTACAGATGCAAACTACAAAACTTGGGGTGTGGGGTGTGGGTATGAATGGATTGTGGATGTGGATGTGGGTGAGGGCGAGGGGTGTGAGTGTGGATGTGGGGTGTGAGGTGTGGGTGTCGGGTGTGGATGTGGGGTGAGTGTGGGTGTGGGATGTGGCGTGGGGGTGGGTGTGGGTACAGGCATGGGTGTTTGTGAAGACAATATCGACATTCACACTCACACCCACATCCACACTTACATCCACACCCATACTCACATTCACACCCACACCCACATCCACCCACGCCCACACTCTCGAGTGTGTGTGAAGCTGAGGCCATGGCTATGGCCCTGTATGTTTGCCTTCTTTTTAGCGACATCCACATTAAAATGAAGCGGGATAGATAGAGTCAACAACGAAAATTTTTAAATGTAGTGTCAAATATATACGAGAAACAATTCGGAATCTTAACGTGCTCGAATCAGAATTTTACATTAAGTCATTCGTCGTTTCTTGACGAACTCTCTAGTGGGATTGAAATCCATCTGTAGTAGCTCTTACTGATCTGCACTAACTTTACGTTTACCTTCCACTTCCGCGCTAGCGATTTGGAACCAATTTCTTAGATCTAAAAAAGATAGTCTTTTTGTTTTAGATACTATGCTGGAGAAAAGTTAATCATATAATCAAATACAATAGGATTTCATTGAAATTTTATGGACTGTTACACTGTTGTGAGTATAAAGTCAAGAACGGTTAGTTTTATGTCATGTAGAGTTGCTAGTTTGAATAGGACTTCCGTGAAGTAGACAATTGAACAATTTGTTTAAAAAAAAATCGTTAGAAGAGAGCGAAAAGCAATTGTGTTCTAGTATAATGAGATTGTTTTGTTTAGTATCGAACGAACATTTGTATTCGATGGTTGGAGCTGTCCGACACATAAAGATTCAATTGTTGGTCGAGTAGTAGTGAATGTGGATTTGAAAGTAAATTAGATAAACTGCCTGATGCACTTGTAACACCTGCAATAGTTGTTCCGTTTTTTTGACCAGAAAGAAAAAACTGGACACGATGATTGCCTGAGTCGGCTACATAAATGTTACCCGTCGAATCGAGTGTGAGACCTTGAGGATAGGACAACATCCATGTTGTACTGCCATAATTACCAGCAACTCCAGCAACAAGTGTCCAACCACTGGAGCCAATAACCCAGCGAACAATAGTGTGAGCACCACTGTTGGCAATCAACAAGCTGTTTGATGATGAATCAAAATAAACGGCACATGGATTGGACAGCTGGTTGGTCAGTGTTCCTTGCCCATTGCCACCAGCAACTACAGTACCATTGTATGCGCCCGATGCATAGCTCATAATTCGATGATTGCTAGTGTCTGCTATGTAAAGAATGGTCGAATTGGAGCCAAAGCTAAGACCTTGAGGACTGTTCAATTGATTCAATGCGGAACCACTGGAACCTGAAATAGTGTAAAAATAGATTTCCTATGAACATGACACATACTACGTCGTAATTATGTTTTAGTAGTGTGCCCATTTTTCTCGAAAGAAAGATTTACATAGCATTGTCATCAATATAAGATTTTCTTGAATTAGTCCATGCAATCAAAGGAGATATAATCGGAGATCTTTCTCCAGATCTGAAATTCGTCTCTCAAAACCATTGCATACAGACATCTGCTTTTACTCATTATGAGAACAGTAAAACACAGACGTGAGTAAATGCAGTCTCTCAATAACTTTCTAGAATTCCGACTCTGTTGTAAGTTGCTGTGATGGAAAGATTTCATTCAATAGTCACACTGAAAGGTGAATCAAAACTTCCTCAGCTATGCTAATCGATCAAAAACTAAACATCGAACTTACTTGATTTGGGCAATATCATTCAATGGATTAAGATGTTCGACACATGCTCACAAAAGATTTTCTATCACTCGACACAACACGAAATATAGAAGCCATTAACGCCTATTTGTCTACGATCAACACTTTGAAAACATTACAGTGACGCGAGAACATGCTTTGGCCTCAATGGTTAGTATGAAGTTAACCAGAGTGCTTGAAAGACTTGGTCTATTAAGCACGAGAGCCATTGTTCAGGTTGTTGTTTCGCTTACTAGTTGAGCTAAACTTATTATTAAGGCAAGTGTCGTAGTCATTAAGGTGTTTTTAGGTAGTACTCACAATTGCTAAATAGTTTAGAGCTATTAAAATCGATTCAGGAAGGTCATTACTAATTCTTATTCTAATAAGATTACTTCTCTTCATATATAAATTTATTTATTTAATAAGATTAAAGTTATAAATATATAATAAAATCATAAATTAGCGTAAAAAATAAAGTTAATTGTATGATCTATACCCCTATCATGAAAGAAAAGAAAAAAGACAAAAGCAGAAAAAAAAATACTTATAGATGAAAGAATATCATCTTTGTAGTATAACAAGAACATGCTGATGGCTGCAGTCAATTCTGACCGAAACGTTAACATTCAACTACATATGATTTCGTATAATTAAGATTTATTCTTTACTCTAATTTATGACTTTATTATATATTTTACTATATTGATTATATATGTATAATTTTAATTTCATTAAATAAAAAAATTTGTATCGGAAGAGAAATAATATTGTTAAGATTAAAGTTAAAGGCTATGAGTATATCTGTTTTCAGTTATACTGCACGTCAATATATGGCATTGAAATAATTATAAACCCACATATTCTGTGGTTTTATCGAGCTTATGTTTTGACACGTTTAGTTATGGCGCTTATACAGAATACGCACGATCCTCACTGATAATAATTCAATTGCACACATGTTTTTGTGACTTATTTCAGAGAAACCTCATCCTGAAACACTATTCAAGTGCAAATGAATTTTGAATTTTTTTAAAGCTTTTTCCCAATCTTTTTGCTTACCGGTGCCGGCTACAGTTGTTCCTGACAAAGCACCATAAGTCCAAAGTTGAATCCGATGGTTGTTAGTATCAGCCACGTAAACATTGTTACTCGAGTCAACATAAACACCAGAAGGTTGGTTCAAAGAAATGGACGTAGAACCTGACACTCCATTTGGCTGACCAGCTACAGTCGTTCCCAACGAGTCTCCAACGTTCCATGCTTGAACTCTATGATCACCCTGATCAGCGATATAAAGTGAACTGGATGAATTAAATGCTATCATTCCGGGAGTATTGAGTCGTGAAGTTAGTGAAGCAAAATAAGACCCGACACCAGCGACTGTGGTTCCCGTCGTATTCCAACGCAACTGAAGTGTAGTACTTGCTGAAACTGAATGGAACAACAGATTATAAATCTTCTACGAAAAGCGTGGTAGATTTGAAACGAAAATCTATTGCTTACTTGTTTAAATTTTGGTCCCATGCCATTAGTATTATCAGAAACCACGAAAGAATGAAATGATGGCTTCTTTATTCATATTAAAGCTAGTAATTAAGTTAAAGTTTATCTTTTCACTTCTTTATTCTTTCTGACAGTGACATTTCATTCTTTTCCAAACTTCTAACAAGCAATCATTTTATTTGAAGCTTAGAGTCGTTTCATAACAATGACTAGTTTGCGAACTTTTATTATTCGCATTTCGCTCATTCATTGGGTTGCGAACACTACAAGGAATGCCTAAATATTTCTCGTAAGTGAGGCTCAGTGTTCGGCTCGAATCGAGGCAAATCTCAGATTGGATCCGATGAGATCCTGTTTAATACTAAAAACGTTTGCACGTTCCCAGTCGAATCCTTGGTCTGAACATTTTGTGGATATAAACGGCATTTTAAATCTTTTTTTCATTTGAAGGGTGTATAAAAGAACATGGAAAAGTTTATGAAAACGTGTGCAGTATCTGGCCAGTCGTGACATAAAGATCTTGGCTTACATACATAATAAAAGAAGAGAAAACAAGAAGTAATCCTATCACATAATGATGTCATTCGAATTGCAGAACATCGGCAAAATATAGAGGATTACTCGAGATCAAACACATATTCTTTCTTTCCAACTGTGATGTTAAAGGAAGAAGAAAAAGTTCCAAAAGTGATTTTCTCAAGCCACAGAAGAAGATCGTTGACACTAGAAGTTGATCCAACTCGGATCTTCAACAACTTTACACAGGTCAGCTTGAATTAGAGCAAAAAAGTGAATGAGTCGACTGTGGTCACAAAAAGTCTGATCCATGTCGATCATTCTTCGAGCTGTAACAGTAGCTCAACACTTCTGCGCTGAGGAACTCATTGATTGATTCTAGTTTCTAAGAACTGATCAATGTGACCATTCACAGTTTTCAGAAACTAATCTGATCGACTGGTTTCGGTGAGAAATTATTGATGAGCATTTCGCCGATAGAATCTTTATGTGACGGATCCATATCAGTTCTTTTATTGAAGAGTGAACCATCTCCTAGAAGCTTCAACTGGTAGATAAAATCATTGCATCGGAATCGAAACTAATCGGTTACATCAAAGCAACTGTAAACCACTACTTTTGAATTAGAAATATTATGGTTCTCCTATTTCTATAGATCTACACAAATACATCTTAAACTAAAATATGTTAACACTCAGTTCTTTTGAGCTGAAAAATATAAAAGAACTACGACTTGCAGATCAATGTTGATCTACGAGAATAAAAACGAAGGTTGATCTTTGTTATTACCATTGGAAAATGTTCACAAAAACACGTTATTAGGTCACAAGTATCTCTGTGATTCAAAGCAAAAATACTTACAAACATCTGATCGACATCATTTTTGCAAAAAGTCAAATTGAATAGGAGGAACATTTCATGCACATAATTCGAGATAAAGGGAAAAATGTCAATTCTCATATACTCGGCGAAGAAAATAAAACACAGAAGGGATACATTTCTTATAAGTCTAAAATGAGCTCAGCTCTATTTCGAAATTTAAAAGCTATTTTCGGTAGTTGCTTAGATCTTTCTAAAGTATACTCACCTGTCGTTGTACTAGTTCCAGTATCTTTTTGTATACGAGTGAGCGAGTAAATACTCATTGCCAATCCTGCCAAAGCAATGATAGCAGTGATCACAATAGTCACATATAATAGCTTTGATGTTGAAGTTTTATTTCCAGCACTTGGATCTTTCGAAACTCTAGTAAAAAGACTATCGTGATAAAGAAAAAAAAATGATTCAATCAGTACTACAACTCACAGTGAATTTTCTTTTTGAACATTTTTCGGATGATCAGAATCGAATGTTGGTTGCCATGGCGACTGTTGCTTTGTATTATTTTGAGTTCCTTCCACTTTTAACAATGTTGCTGAACTCTCCAAAAATTCGCCTCTCAATGTGTATGGTTCGACAGATGCCGGAGAAACACGGTTTTCTATCAGGGTTGGATCTGAAGCTGGCTTTATCTATACGAGAAAGACAAAAAGATGATAAAATTCTATCTGAACATTTCATTTGATTTTCTTCTTATTAGTATTACTTTGGATGGCTTTGGTATTATAGAAGCATGTGTAAATCGAAAAATATCCATACTACACTATACCTCGCCAAAAGTATGAGAACTGTGAAAAATAACATAGGTTGCAGAGGCTACTATAATTTACATTTTTTTTCATCCTGCTTTGTGCGAAAAAATCTCACTTCTATGGTACTATATAAAATTGAATTCTCACTAATGCCGTCTGAGCAACTGTTTCGTTGTTTACATAGCTTGCTGTCTGTAAGCAATAGTAACATAGAATGAAATTGAATCCATCACTTGTCTCTTCTACTGAAGAAAAGACTCTTTACTCTTACTCGCTGTGTATCGTTTCAATCGATACTTTTAGGTGTAGCTTTATTTCTGTTTTTGACTATAGATCTCTCATTCATCCTGAACTTTGATCATATATTCGTCAGGCATATTGGTTGTCGATACTAGCAGCCACCATATCCAACTTATCAACATCAGTAACGAGTTTCGCCCAATGACAGTGTCATATGTTTTAAACACATGGATAGCCTTTATACAAAAAAATGTTTTTAGATATACTTTTTGAGAATAATTCTTGTAGCTACAAAAGTTTCTGGAGAAAATATTGATCTTATGGTTTTGATAAACTGTTCAAATGATGAATTTCACATCTTGTTTTGATTGATTCTTATAAAACCCGTTAACAGCTGCACTTTATATCAATATTTGTATATTGAGCTTAGTTTTGTTTGGAAATGAAGATTTACTGTAGTTTTGTTCTACAAATATACATATAATCATTTACTTTTCTTAAAATCCGAGATGATTTCGAATCAAATTCATAGCAAGTATTCGAGCTCATCGTCATCGTATTACTTAAAACATTTTAGATTGTTTGCGTTTTGCCATGTTGTTTCATCCTACTAATGTATAAATTAACATCAATGTTGGTAACAGTATCCTGTAGTGCTTTATGAATGAAACTTTCCATATTCTGATTATTGTTTCTTTTCATTTCAATAGATAAGCCTACTGTTTCCATAAGATATGTCTTGAGATTTTCTTCAATAAGAGCATTAAATATTATATTCCTAATGCTGAAATTACAAAGCACTGGAGAAGTACTAGAGCCCATTGCTCGAAAAGCTTTTTAATCCGAAATGTAGGGCTCCAAGATTGTAAATATTTACAGAATGAAATATAAGCAAATTCAATTCACTTTATTGTTACCAATGAGTATCTGCATTCTGCTTGTAATCAAAATTGTTTATACAATACAACAAATTGAATGTTGTTTCTTCGAATCTGCTCCATATTAGTCATTATCTTTTGATCAGAGATCTCATATCATTATACAAAGTTGTTTCACGATGCCAAGTAGAAGAATTTCTCGAATGGGATTTGTTGTATCCTACTAACAATGTGAAGCATCTGTTGCATTCACTTTCAACAAAGTAAAATACTTTTCTCTTCTAGCACACTAAGTAAAAAACTTAGCATACATGAAACGAACATGATCGTCTTGCCTCTTCTTCAATTAATGCTTCCGCTGCTTTGCAGTTTTAACGAAATTATAGAAAATATTCAAGCGTTGCTACTCGGTTTTTTCTGCAAGTATTCTATTGTAAATCAATATTGTCTAATAAAATTTCATATGAATCGTCTCAATCTCATTTGAATTCAACTAGAATATAAGGCTTAATGTTTGACGATGAGGGTCGGCAAGATGAAAAATACATAAAAGAGAGCAGAAACACTTGATTTCATGGATTATTCATACTTTTTTTTCTCAATCTATAACTGCAGACGAGTCTAATCACTGCGACGCAAAACTTCACTAGTTTGTCTTCTACCAAGAAAATGAAAATTCATAAAAAAAGCGAAGCTTTCAATATTGCAATAGAATTAACATGAAAATTGAAATTGCCATGTTGCTCAAGGACATGAATGTAATTCTTTCGACTTGATAAAAACTTTGAATTTGCAGCAAAATGAAAATCAGAAAAATTCAAACATAACATCCACAGGAATATAGATGCATAAGGCTACATCCAATTGATTTATGAAGGTTTGGGTGTAGCTGTGAATATAGAATGTTGGTCTAATGTGTGGATGGAAGCCTTGTCGTCGATAGCATACATATTCACACCTATATATGCGTTCTATTTATGTGTTACCATAGCTTATGTTTGACTGTATAATACTTGGGGGTGTGAATGAAGATAAGACTCACCCATATCTACCCTCGCATCCATACCCACATCCTATTCTAATTTATTGCTGTGGTTTGCTGAGTTTCTATTACTCGATGAACTAGCAATAGGCAATTTATTTCATTGTCTGTATCTCAGTTTGAGAATTTCGACGGCCAGAAACAGGCATATACGGCGTAAATACGACCGAGCACGGCTGTATTTTCGTCCTCTTAGTATCCATTGTATTACGACCATATATCGCCCATGCTTTAAACGTCCCAATATTATATCCTGATGCCGTGTACCCTATAGCAAATGATCATCCACTAAACAAAACTTTATGTCAAACGATCATCAGTGCCTCCTCTCACACATAAAAAATAGTCCATCCAGGACACCAATTATGAAAATTTCAGACTCAATGGCTGAGTATGTGGATGTGGGTCCGAGGGTATGTATTATTCTTCTGATTACACCCACGCTTACATTTCACCCTCCAGTTTATAAGAATCAACATCTTCAGAAGGAAACGTGTTTTTCTGCGGGACCTTTCAAAGTGTTCTAAGGACCACAAGAGCTACATATGAACAAAATTTCAGATTGAAATTCTGTTGTTCAATTTTTATCTATATAAGTACCGTGTGCTATGCCGACCAGGCAGTAAAATGGTCATAACCTTCGAAGGAAGTCTCATCAATCCCAAAACTTCTCAGGGTTTTTCTTAATACACTATGCTCGACATATGGACAAAATATCATTGATGACAGCTTGAATCAGTTGCGGACCTTTCCCTGTAAGCATAGAGCATTTTCTTTAACAGACTTTCCAGTGTTTTGTTTCTCCGAAGTAGAGAAAACAACGTTGTCCGAGGAATAAAAAAACTAAACTCCAATTCGTTCCTAGTTATTTATAGAAAAATGAGTCATTCACGATTTGACTAGGAAGAACTCAGATCATTTGTGACCTTACTCCTCTAATATTTCCTAAAAAGGAAGCATCAGTAAATTCTAAGTGCTTTTTTTATTTAACTGCACACGGGAAAAGGTACAAACTGCATTTGATGCAACGAGATTAATGTTGGCTGAAAGTCATGTGAGTTCAAATATCCCCTTCCCTGATACATTATAAGAGCTGAAGTCTTCTAATATGTCCCTTACAAAAAGGGATTTTTTGGCAGTATTGTCAACAAATTTGAAGAGCTGTTGGGATTCATTTATTTAATGGGGATTTATTAATTATGCTTATATTTCAGCATAACAATACCCTCACACACACATCTTGCATGTATTGAGAAATCGTATGAGATTTATCTCAAAGTGCTTCAGAACTTACTGCAAAGTCCTAATAAATCCTGATAAAATAAGTTCCAGCAGCTGCTGACAAAATTTAGTTTAAGTCAATTTTCACGTATTACATCGTTACTAAATGACTTTATTTTTACTTATTCCTCTTGCATAGAATGAGAAAGAAGCATAAATCATCCTGTGAAAAAGAAGAAGGTCATTGTTAGTGAGAAATATTCTTAAAACAGTACAGGTAAGACTCCCTAACAGCTTGGCACAATGTTCAATAGAATTCTTTTTTCTAAAGAATTCTATTCTCATTGGCAACATTTAACCTTCTGAATAACTAAATAACTAAAACAAAGAAATGAAATTTCTTTTGTTGACTTTATTTAAGACAGCTATTTGTGTTGAGTTTTGATGAGTAGAGATAGACTTTGTTCCGGTGAAATCTACCACCAATATCGCTACTGATTGTAAGCTAACTTCGATGAATACGATTGTCTTGTGCAGAGACTGTTTGTAGGCAAATAGCAGTGGAATACGCATTTTGTGTTTTGTCTTGAGTCTGTTTCGAAAACTGCTTTTGAATTATATTGAAAGAAGAAACACGTTCTCAGACTTATCAGTACTCATCGAACATACATCAAAGTATACACATGAATTTAGTTTTTCTTCAATTATGAAAAACTGGGTGTGGGTGGGGTGGAGTGTCGGTGGGTGTGTGTGTGGGTGGGGAGTGGGTGTGGGATGTGACTGTGGGTGGGCAGTGGGTTTGGGATGTGAGTGTGGGTGGGGAGTGGGAGTGGGATGTGAATGTGGGTGGGGAGTGGGTGTGGGATGTGAGTGTGAGTGTTGACGACATTGACGAGAACATCCACACCCACACCCTCCAGATGGCGCCACCTATTAACATGTTAACGGTATGCAGTAGAATTTGATAATGCATACACTATTAGATAGAGGAAATCCTTCATCGCAGACCGTGGCAGAGAACCCACAGAGACCATCACAGATCGTGACAGAGAAACTGTAGTTTTGAAGGATCAAAAAAAAAAACGATAAGCTAGAAATCTACCGTAAAGAGACGAAAGAAAACGAAGTCCATTTAATTAGTAACAGTAGGTCTATCGTGTTTCACATTTTTAATCCCGCAAGGGATTGTGTTAAGAGCTTTAATTTTATTTCTTTACGCATATATGAACACTTTTATTTTCATAGATTCCTGCTTGAATACCATATGTTCAACGAGATCACGTTGATTTGTGCTTTATATTATGACTATTGTTTTGATCATAATAAAAGTATATGTTGAAGAGCTACCAGAGTAATCATTGCATATATACTTTGAAGCAAAATAAGAGAGCATAAGTCAGAATATATATTTTTGACTTTACTTTATAATCAAAATGAAAATATAATACAAATCAATGAATGTGTTCGTGAATATTGTTCAGATTGATCCTCCAATAGTTCCGACTCGTGTACCCATCAGTGCAGGTGCACCAGTAGTAGTTTGTGGAGGGCCTCGTGCAGTTGTACAGAATATTTTCTGTTTAATTTCTTTTCTCAATTCAGGATATTGAACTAGACATACGAATGGAAAGAGAAAAGTTACAAAATAACCAAGAAAAAAGAAATAAAGTTCAGCTTGAACACCATATTCCAGTGGTAGACCACATTGATGAAGAAGAGGAATAAAAGATATTGGAAAATTAAATATCATATTTATAGTTGACATTAATAATAATTGAATTGTCAATCGACGTTGTTTATGCCATTGAATAGAACGACGAAGACGTTGTTTTTGCCGTACAATACGTATAATAAAAGAACTACTAGCACAGAATTCAACAATAAGTGGTAAACTAGTATTAACAGTGAATTCCCACATGCCAAGAATACCATAAGATTGATAGCATGGAACTCCATTGCATACAGGCAGAGTGTAATTATAATCATTTACGCAAGGTAAAAAGAAAATACATATAATATAGAAAAGTAGAATATAACTAACTAGAATAATCATAGGTAAGTAATGAATAAGAAATCGTCCACGTCCATTAGCAATCCATCGATCATGAAAAACTAAAATGTGCCGTTCGATTGCAAGCCATGCCATTAGAATAATACTTCCAATGTAAAAACCGAAATCAATTAACCACCAAATGAGACATACGATAGGTTGAGATGGTTCTACAGAACCATGATGAAAAAAAACAAGATAAAAACTAATATCAATTAATTGAATGGGTAAGTTAAATATAAGAACAAGAAAAATTGTATGATTATGTAATGAACGTCTTTGAGTAGGATTGGTAATTATATGAACAATGATACATAAAGCACAGATAGTCGATGGAATATCGGATAAAATAAAAAGCCAGAAACGAATAGGACGAGGTAGAGAAATTTCAGCATTAATAAAAGAATCATCATTCCCAGTTGAACTATTATTCGTGAACATGGTTAACAGTAAAAAAAAATACTTGGTTGTATTTTGTTTAGTGAACACTTGAGAATGCAAATGGCATCAAATAAATATTTTTTATCTGTTTTCCACAAGAAGAAAAAAAACCTAGTTTCTGGTGTACTGTAATGTGAAATTAACATGACAATCGTTAATTATTGCTCCAAAGAATAATCAAGAAGAAATAAAAAGTTTTATCTTTCTTTACGGATAAATGCAACAATTTTATATATAGCCAGTAGTTTATCTAGGTTGTGTTTTTCGGGTTGGCGAATTCAAATTTCGGATGGGCACCACCCGTTCGGTCAACCCAGTAGATAAATCACTACGACATTTTTAGGATGCGCAAATGGAAATTTCGGGTGAGCGCCGCTCATCCAGCCTACCCGCTAGATAAATCACTGTATATAGCACTATTATTTTCATTGTTTTTCTGACAAAACAATCGTTATATTTCAACGATTTTTTTTTCTCAGAATTTTCCATAAACTAAACAAAGAGTCGTATAATTGAAACAAATATGTAGTTATTAGATTTTCTTTGAATTGACATTATGTTGTCATAGGCAATTATCACAATTATGTATTCAAATTCTTAGTGAAGTGTTGAGATAAATAAAACAAATTAAAATGTGAAACACAATAGATTCGTTCAAGTAGTTAAACAGAATCAACCAGACAAATTGTTGTGACAGTCAGACGTTTTATCAATTTTGCCTATCTGTCTATCATAATCTATTATGCTAGATGATTACTTAATTCTCCCTGTCTGTCATGTTTTATGAGAGTTTCAATTTTCTCGTTATATAAGGTGCACGTAATGCACAATTTCATCACTTTTTATTTAATATCGCTAGATTCATTTTTTCACACTGATCATGATTATGTATTTACTTTTTTCGATTTGACAACGCTTTCACGGTGAAAAATACAAAATACTGAGGAAGTATCCAAATCTGGAAAAAAATCTCTAAACCTTTTACCATTTCAGATTTTTTTCAATGTGATTTCTGGATTCTATATGTAAAACTGAGTCCAGAAATGTTATTTAGATCTGTACGACATATTGCATGTCCATTCTAAAAACTCCATGATGCGCTTCCTTCTAAGAGGGTGTTCATTAAGTTTTGACTCGCTTCATCAATATTATTTTTTTTTCATGTTTTATTAACGGAGAAGACTGATATTACTAGCATCATAGACGGCGGAAGCTAGAGGCTGGATGAGATTCATGCCTCACCCAAATTTCATGTCTGTAGGCTCAGTCTTACCCAAATTATGAATTCGATTTTTTTTGCATGATGGCCTAGACTTATTCTTGAGACGAATATTATTTTAGTACGAAAATTCAGATTTCTAAAGCTCGCGATACATGAGACGATCCAGGTCTTCTATTTTATCTTAACAGTTACAAGCTACAAAGGGGTCTTCTATTATGTCCCTAAAAAAAACAAGTTTTTTTAGTAATCTCGACAACAAATCCCAATTTCAACCCTTTTTTCTCTAATGTACCATTAGTAAACGAGTCTACTTTACTTGTTCGCCGGTCGTACAATGGAAAAGAAACGTGGATAATGTTGCAATGCAAAAAAAAGGAAAATCATCATTAGTTAGAAGAGTGTTCTTGAAACAATATAGAGAGCATACTGCAAAATTTTGGTGCAATTCAAAATAGCAATATTTTTTTTATAAAGTATACCATCTGTCACTGCTCTTATTTATGTTCTGTGCAGTTACATCCCCGAATAAAAGTCCTTCCCCTTCTCTCTGTCTATTCTGGGATATTTCTTATCAAGTTTATTATCTCATATACAGGTATGACATAAGAGCTTTATGTCAATGTAATCTACACCATATTGAAATAAAGATCTTACATTATATCATTATAGAGTAATAAACTTGGTAAGAAATATATCAGAATAGATAGAGAGAGAGATTTTTGTTCGAGGATGTAAATAACTTAAAGAAAGAAAATTAAACTTTTTCTGTCAAAGCTATTTAAGTTAGTTGCTTACGTTGAGGATTGATTCGTGCAAATGAAATTAGTCCAAAATAAAACGTACCGCCAGTTTAGGTACTATGATTATGTAATATATAACTTGAATGAATACGGTTGTCTACGAAGAAATCATCTACAGAAAAAAAAAATGATTGAAAAATACACGTTGAGAGTGTTTTTAAGATTTTTTTTGTACCTGTTTCCAAAAGTATCTTGGCATATTTATACTAAAAGAAATAACTCCTCTGACATCGGAGAGATGCTTCATAAAACACATCTCATCGGGGTGTGGGTGTGGGTGTGTGGGTGTGGGTGGGTGTGGGGTTGGTGTGGGTGTGGGGTGTGGG